GAATTACATTGCCTGACTCAGCTTTAGACTTTCCAGTTCAAGGATACACAGTTAATGGTGAGAAGTGCCGGGAGCTGTAGTTTAGCGACATCTGCAGAGCCATTGGCTCTCTACCATTTCTTGCAAGCTTAGACCACTGTATTATCTCAAAATAATTACAAAGTAACAGGAAGCTATGCTTATTCTTGCTTCATCCGTGCATTGGAAGTCCTGTCTGATTTCAACAGTAGAGGAACTGGGAATCTGAAGGATAGAGGTACTGCTGAAATAATATTTCATAAATTAAAGAGCAATGTGAAAGTTCTGTTTCAGATGCCAAGATCTGGTGGCATATGCTATCTACCCTTGGAACCAGAGCAGAAGAAAATAGCTGCCACTCTAAAGTAGAAATATGATCAGTCCCTAAAAAGTAGGGGAAAAAATCCAGAAACATATGTCAAAAAAAAAAATTGAACTCTAGATGACCTTGAGGAGTTGTTTACAATATGCGCAATGCCTTAAGAACATCACACTCCAGTTCCTTTCCTTGGCTTGAAACAGAGATGATTAACTTTCGGCTGCTGCTATGACAAAGGGAGAAAAAGTGTAGGACTAAATCCTTTATCTAGATAAGATTTACCAGCACATGATACTGTTGCAAGGGCTGGAAATGAGCAAAAGTGAAAAGAATAGCCATCCCTTTTCAGTAGGATCCAGCAGAGTAAAATGCTCCCCAAAGAGCCCATATTCTTGGAAGCTGCATTGTGGCTCATGGATTTTTCACCATAAACTTTGAAATGTCAGATTTGGAAAATACAGGACAAAAAACTGGCCTACAATCTGCTGATATTAAAATGATCCTTCAGCCTGCATTGAGGTGATCCTTTCCTTTCCACTCTTCTTAGTACAAAGCTAGGTTTTGGGTGCTGTGCATTGTGTGCAAAAGTTCATTTCTCAGACTTCCAGATGGTCACTTGCTTGCCCACCCTGTTGAAGTTGCCAGAAGTGAATTGGCAGGCAGCTCAAATGAGTTCACAGATATTTTAAAAAATTATATTACTGGATAGTCTGTATCACACTTTTCTCAGCTGCTATAGACTTTGGTTTTGTATACTCTGAGATGGCACTATTAAAACTGTGGTTGTCAGCCTATGAAAAAGCAATTTATGCTATGCAGTGCACAGAATAGTACATGATATGTATGAGAAAAAAATGGTAAATATAGGTGGAATCCTTAATGTTTGTAGAAAAAGCAGATTTCTAGTGCAGAGACATCTGCAGCTAGCCATAATGTCAAAATGATGAAATGTGTGTTGTGATGCAACAAGGCAAATTTCACCCCTTTCTTATTTTCATGAAAAGAGTGGAGTTTGCATTGTAAAGTTGTACATTTTGCAATTTGCCCCCTTCCTCC